TATACTTTTGAAAGTTATCATATGAATAAATGTAGATACCATGAAGTTATCGCTGTACTTCCAGCATCTTCACTAACCCAGTTTTCTATGTCAGTGCCATGCATGCTGAGTGGAGGATGAATACTAAAGATTTTCTACCTCCTCGTCTTCTCGAGCACGTCTCAGCTGAGTGACAGTATCTGTTTTGTACAGACTTTTGTGATTATCAGAGGATGACTCTTATTGACTCTAATGTTTCGTTGTTTCTGCTCTAATCTCACCACGAGATTCACATTTGAGGTTTTGAGGTAAAATAACTTCCATCTCAGGATGAACTGCTCAGTGTTTGATAACTTTTTCATTCTGTGTTGTGATGTGACCCACTGGTTAGCAAAGTCCTGCCTCAGGCTTTGCTGTTGCTATCTGAGAGAGTGGGGAGGGAGAGACTGAGGGCGGCTGTAGGCTCGTACGCTCCGTCGTCCTTCTGGACTCTGTGCGTTCACAAAAGCAGCGTCACGTTCTTTCAATGAATTTAAAACGAGAGCGTGTGGCCGTAAACTCATCGGCAAAGAGTTTGCAAAAGTCAGAGCTCGGGTGAGACAGACGTGGACTTTTACACAATCAGACGTCTTTACACAGCCACAGGAGTCGCCCCCTACTGGACAATAAAAGGGATGCAGATTTAAGGCTTTACTTTTGTAATCGATCGATCTTTATATACAGTCTATGACTGAGTGACTATAGATAAATAAATAAAGTACTTTGGCTTGTGCGGATAAGAATGCTGAGCCCTGTTATCATGTTAGCACTACCTCAAAGCTGCTGCACTGAAAATTTGTGGTCTTATTAAACAAAAAAGTAGCCCAGGGAAATTAACATGGAAGCACCACAACGTGCAGTTCCTCTAATGTCCACCAGAGGCTCCAGCAGTGAGTCAGTCTCCACAGACACCCATGTTAAAATATCCGTTTACAGCCTGCAACAAAAACACGGTTTACGTCTCCATGGCCAGTTTCCCCTTACAGAACAACTGTACACAAAGTGAATTTCACTTGTTTATATCACATTAAGGCCTAAAGTTTGCATTATTAGGGGGTGTGGCCTCTTTGAAAAGAGCTGAAGCTGCTATCGCTAACTATCGTCGCGTCAGCTAGCTGGAGTTGACTCTGAATTGACTTTGTGTTGTTGGTTCCTTTTGGAGCATTTTTGAATGCGTTTCTCTAACAAACACAACTCGCTGTGCAGTCGTACCAATCATGGTCCAGGAAGTCGGTGTTTCAGCTTTGGGGGAAATTCTTGTACTTTTTTAAGTCTGTCATTTGCATGAATTGGCAGATATCTGAATCCATCCGTTTATTGATGCACATTAAATAAAGTAGCTGTAGCTTGTCACTCCACTCTCTCATCCAG